CCTGGACTACCTGCTACTCATCATCCTGGAGGCTTTCACCACCCAGGAGGGACAAGGATCTAATTGACAGGTGGTGGTGCTGACAGCATCAAGGGCCCTGTCCACTTCACCAGGGCCAACAGGATTAAACTATTCCCAGATAACAAGACAAGATTTCTCCGCAGGCATCTTGCATGGACTATCACCATCCATTTGTCCATCAAGTGCTGAATAAGCTTCTCTGCCCAGCCTTGTAAAAGATCTCCTGAGCCTCCCCTAACCCAAGAAGGAACAGGCAACCTGAAACAAGGATGGTAGATGGCATGCTGAAAAAACAATAAGAGCAGAGAAATACTGCTATTTTACCACTCTTACTGGAATGATAGTGGCTCTAAGTTGGGTCTAGTCTAAGTCATCCCTTGTTATCCTCCAGTTGAACCATAGGGAGAGTCAGGAATGATGAGTCAAGAAAGGCTGCATGGATGCGACCCTGTCCAAAGTCACGGCCGCCTTTAAATTCCAGGCCACACCACAGTTTCCTCAGGACTTTGCAGCAACACCTCCAGGAGACCCCCCAGTTCCATCTGGAAGTCATTAGGCTCTATCAGTTGTTGGGGGGGGGTGGACCATCAAAATGGATTGGGCCTCCCTGTGGAGGAGGACAGCAAACTGCACCTCTTGTGTACCCCTGGTTTGATCATGGAAGCCTCCAAGCAGACAGAAGCCTCTGGATTAGAGGCACACACACTCCTGGCCCAGAAGGAGAAAAAAAAGGAAGAGTCAGTGTGACCAGTCAGTTCAAAGGGAAGCAGTGGCAAAAATCCGGTCCTAAGCCTTCACTCCAAAGAAAGTTTGCTAAGCTGAACTAAAGGCTGAAAACAGGAGGCATACTGTGCTCGAGAGGCAGTTTACTAAAACTCTGGACCAAATGAGGGGACGTTTGCAGCAGGCTTCCCTTCCAATGGAAGCACAGGTTGGCCAAATTGTGGGGCCCAGGGAAGAGGGAGTCCACCCTTCTTCCTTCTCTTATACCCAAACCTTGTCTCCTATGGTAACAGAGGAGGAAGGGGGCCCCCAAAACCTTAGCAAATCAGGACCCCATTTTCTTCAGGCCCCTAAAATTCCATCTCCCAACCAGACCACTCAGGGTAGCATTAGACATAGGCCCGAAGCTACCTTCACCCCCACTGCTGCTAGCCTATGTCCTGGAGAATTCCACTCAGGCAGTGGTTCCTCTAACATTTCCCTAGTAGTCTCTTCTGCCATTCAGTGAGGATTAGCACAGGGCTTCCAACAGCTCTTTTGCCCTCTTTCGCCTCAAGGACACCAGGGTGTGATCTGACCATGACAAGTTAAATAATCTTAAATCCCCCAAGACTACTCTCCCAAGTAGAGTAATCCTTATCCCATAATAATCTGGGATAGGCCCATGGCCACCATGATGGCCATGAACAACTGGGCTGCTTCCAAGGACACACCTAGAGTTGACAGGTTGAAATCCTCGAGAACCATAAGTATGGGGAACTCCACCCGCCAGCCCCAAGATGGCCTCCAGCAGCTCAGGCAGGGAGCTTGCTGCAAATCAGGGAGGCTGGTATACTAGCCACAATCCCATCTGATCCCATGATTCCAACTTCAGAAACAGGGTCTCACACAACCAGAAACTTGTGGATAAAGTTTTCATTGATGAACTTCACAGCAGAATGTCTTCTTTGAATCTAAAAGACAACCATATAGAATAAAAGCACTAGTACAACTGAAATGTGTTATATGGAGTAAAGGAGGACAAATAATGATGCTCTTGTATATCCAGGAGAGCATCCACCCACTACTGGAAAGTGCTCTCCTTCCTTTTTGCTATCCAAAAGATCAACCAAGATCTCTAGCTCCGTTTTTATTTTATTTTATTTTATTATTTTATTTTATTTTATTTTATATTTTATTTTATTTTATTTTATTTTATTTTATTTTATATTTTATTTTATTTTATTTTATTTTATATTTTATTTTATTTTATTTATTTGTCAGGCATGTATTAGATAACAGATATAAGTATAAACATGATTATTAATACATGAAATGAATAAGAATAAAAGAGAGCATTAGGACAGGGACTATAGGTATGTTGGTGCGCTTATGCATGCCTCTTACACACCTCTTAGGAATGGAGTGAGGTCAACAGTAGACAGTCTAAGGTTAAAGTTTTTGGGGTTTGGGGAAGAAACCCCAGAGTCAGGTAGTGACTCTTTGAGGCATCGACCACTTTGTTGCTGAAGTCGTATTTCCTGCAATTGAGTTTGGTGTGGTTTACCTTGAGTTTGTATCTATTATGTGCTCATGTATTGTTGTGGTTGAAGTTTAAGTAGTCATTGATGGGTAGACATTGCAATGGATAATTTTGTATACTACGCTTAGGTCAGACCGAAGTCAGCATTGTTCTAAGTCGTCTAGGCCTAAATTTTCAATTCTGATGGCATAAGGTATTCTGTTATGAGTAGAGAAGTGGAGGACTATTCTTCTGAAATATCTCTGACCTCTCTCAATTGTGTTAATGTCCAATATGCAATGTGGGTTCCAGACAGAAGAGCTGTATTCAAGAATTGGTCTAGCAAACGTTTTGTATGCTCTAGTAGTACAATATTACCTTCACAATATCCACCTGCATTACAATCTCTATAACAATTATTTGCATCCCAGAATAACTTGTGAGGCTATATTGGACCTTCCCTCAGCAGGGGAGGTCAATTTTCCTAAGTAAAGCTGTAGAAGGGAGAAGGACCTTTTCATTATCTGTGATGACCCAGAGTGTAACAAAATCCATACGTAAATAAATGTCTTTTAATGCCTCCAACTTGGCCCCACTGTTCAATAATTCTCAGTTGGAGATAAAACTTATTCAAAAATAGTCTTCAAAAGAAAGCAATACATTCCTAACTTAATGAGCAGATAGAGATGAAATAAAAAATCAAAACCAAACAAACTACAATGACAAAATTTCCACATCAGAACAGGATAAGTAATTACCAAATTCAAGGAGATAACAAGGCACAGTCTGTTGGAAGGACACCAACCAAGATAATTTCAGCCCCAAATAAAACACGCTTTGCTTCTAGCAACGCTGTGTTGTAATCATCTCTCTTTTATGCTAGTCTCTCCAGCTGCAACCAATCAGGAGAATCATGGCCGTGTCCTCTCTCATAAGCCAAGCTGTTTCCTTCCCCTTTCCTCCCTACATGTCCTAGGATGCAGAGGGGATGGGCCTGGTTCGTCCTCTGATTGCCCAGCCAGCCTCTGCCCTTCCCCAATATCCTCCACAATCTCCGGAGCTACACCTCCACTCCCTATCAGCACATTGGCTATCTACAAAATCTGACAAATGTCCCGCAACCTCTTTCTCATGCGGTAGCAATAAGAAGAGGTTTAATAACTGACATAATGACCAGATACACACTCCCTGTGCACAAGTTTCTATCTGCAGCAGAAGTCACTTGCTTCTTCATAACAACCACCATCTTTATAAGAATTTTACTTTTCTTTGGTTTCCATAAAACTAATCACATTAATGCACACTGTTAATGTCCATTTTTTCATTCTTTTTCACATCAGATCTGCCTTGAATGAACCAAATCTAGTGTCATTCAGGTCTTTAACACCCTATATTTTTGGATAAAGCACTTCCTTTTTCTTACTGTAAACATCAAATTTTAGTGGATAGCTGGATAAAATCGCTAAATTTGAAAATAAATCTTATGAGTTTAGGATGTCATATTTGTGTGGATAGGATCTCTTAGTAAACTTCCATTTTAAGAAAATAAAAGAAAGTCTTCTGGAAAAGGATAGAGTCATCTTCTTGCTGAAGTGTCCACAAGAAGAATTTATAGATATATGACTTATCCTGACTTCTTACTGGGAGTTTATGCTGAATCTCTCCCTCACATCACATCTGTGTGATCCTAAATCATCTAATTTTGTAAGAATTCTTTTCTATAAATCTCATGGGGCTATATTTTAGCTCCTGTCTTCTTTATAGTTGGACATAGTTGGAGAGTAAGATTATCCTCTTTCTTGAGTCCAATACTGTAAAGAACCCCAAGTGCAGATAAACTATGATGCAACTAAAATAATGTTCAGAGAGCCTCCACAAAATATGCTTCTCTCTTTTTACACTTTAATTTTATTCAAAAGATTAAAATACAAAACTAAAAGAAATTAAAGAGAGAAAAACAAAACTAGACAAAACATTAAAAGTATGAATTAAAAATATAAAAGACATCCCTCTGGTTGAACACTGACATATTTATTGCAAAACGAATAGCTTCCCTCACCCCTTGCAAGACAGGTTCAAAACCTATAAGTGTCACCATTCCAGAAAACCTCAACTCCAATAAATAACTCCAAGACAGACAGCTTCTCAAAGGTTCCTTTTAATAAGGTAGTAAACTGGCAAAACTTGGAAATCCGGAATTTGAATGTTCTGGGTTTCCCTTTAATAAGTAAAACATTACAAATCCATCTCCTGCACCCTTCATTGCATCACATGCCCCAACCACCATCTGTCCCAACTTGAGATGTCCCCTCAACAATTCTTCACCCAAGTGCAGAAATAAAATGTCCTTGACTTAAAAGAAGAATGCTATCACATCTAACCATATACGCACCAAGAAATTCCCCCCTCCCATCTTCCCAAGCTCAAGAATGTGGCAGTGTGGAAGCACCTGGTACTAATATGGCTTCCAAAGCTGACAATAACCTTGTACATCTATTTAAAATCCAACTGACCTTTCACACATTACATATATGAAAGAAAAACTAGTTAACAGTCTAAAGAACAGCAAAGTTAAGGTTCTTAATAAAACCTTTCCTTAGATTTTAATTGGGAACTTTTCTAACAATTGCCTCTCATTTTCAACATTCATGTGTCTCTGCTGTAAATATCTCTGCTATGTTTTTGCATATTAACTGGACACTTGGTGCCCAAGTGCCATAGGTTTCTAGGTTTGGCCTGTTGGAATATTGTTGAGACTTGAATTTCCTCTGTCAAATGTTTATATTTCTTCTGGTTGTAAGCTGCGCCTTTGTATTCAGATCTGGCCTCAGAAGGATAATGCAGCACTTGGGGATAAAGATACAGCCCAGCAGCCCAGCATTGGAGGCCAAAATGGAGAAGACCTGAACAGCCACCATATATTTCCCTTTGGTGCTCAGATAAGTGGGCACAAAAGTCACCCAAACACTGCAGAAGACAAGCATGCTGAAGGTGATCAGCTTGGCTTCGTTGAAGGCCCCAGGCAGTTTCCTGGCCAGGAAAGCTACTGTGAAGCAGATGGCAGCCAGGAAGCCCATGTAGCTGAGAGTGATGTAGAACATGAACACAGACCCTTCGTTGCATTGCAGGATAATCTCTCCAGGCTGGGAGTGGAAGTCAGAGTCAGGGAATGGTGGAGAAACTCCCTGCCAGATGGAGCCGATGATAATTTGGACTGCAGAACAAAAAAGGATGATGGCATTGGCCAAGCTCTTCCCCAACCATCTCCTCACTCGATTGCCTGGTTTTGTGGCCATGAAAGCCAGCACCACTGTGATGCTTTTGGCCAAGAGAGCTGAAATGGCAACTGAGAAGATGAGGCTGAACACAGTTTGTCGCAGAAGGCAAGTAGTTTTCCTTGGTTGACCAATAAAGAGAAAAGGGGACAAGAGACCAAAGAGGTGGGAGACCAGGAGAATGTAAGAGAGGTCCCGATTGTTAGCTTTCACAATGGGAGTTTCTCGATATTTAATGAATATGATTAAAAGAAGAGCTGTGGTTAGGAACAGAAATAGGGCAACAGAGACCAGAATGAATCCCAGATGTTCTTCATAGGACAAGAAGGTTACTCTTTTGGGGATACATTGGACTCGGTCCTCATTTGGATATTTATCATCAGGACATTTGGTGCATTCTTCCGTATCTGTTAAAACCAAAAACAATATTTCTATAAGATTCTTGACTTTTACCTTTCAAGAAGTACTTCTTGTGAAAACAGCTGATACAGGGACCAAGAAAATCATTTTTTTAAAAGAGACATGGCTAAGATCTATGAAATATGGGGTGAAAGATTTCCCATGTAATGTGCAAATCGTCATAGCAACCTAGATTATTAAAATAATTAATAAGTCAGTTAGTCTTCTATGAAAACATCCTGAATACTGCCATATGAACCTTTTTAATAAAGTGAACTCAGAGGATGTCTCTTTCATAAAATCCAGTTGGCTGACAGAGAAAGATTGTAGCTAAGCTACCGGATCTTCTGCCTATGAAAATCTTTAATTGGGGAACGTGATGGATGACACACAGTCTGTGAACATTCTTAATTGGAAAATCTGATTTATGACAAATCCAGGGTAGGGGGAAAGAGTGTCACAGGTGTGTGTAAATTATGGATGCTAGAGTTGGCTTCATACAGGTTAATGCCAATCATGTTGCTCCTAATAATCTTTTGGTTTCTTTTGAAGCTTGGCTCCAGGCTGATGATTCAGTTAGGGGAATCACTGGAATCCTGACACTCATCCTGCTAATAGTCTGGAATGGCTACTTGGACCTCTGGTAATATGGGTGTAATGAGGTACACCCCTGTGTGTTCACACCATTTCACTATGGACCACTGATAGCTTCCTAGTAATCTTTAAGAAAAGGCTCATGTAGAATGCATTGCAATAATATTTTCAGAAGGTCGACTTGAGACAGTTCCTCAAATTTCAAAGTCTTGTAATGTTCCTAGGAAAGCAAATACAGAAGGATCCATAAAAAAATGAAAATCAGAAGAAATGTTTCCTCTAGCTGAGGTAAAGCTTGACCGTTCTGCAACAATTTCCAATCTCTATCCAGTGCTGCTCTCAAGATCTTTTTGACATTCTCCCCATAGTTAAAAAAATTGGGCATTGTGATAATAGATAGGAGAACAGTTGAGTTTCAATGCATCATTCAACATGCACTGTCATCAAAGTGCTTTAGATTAATCAATTTTTACAAGGTTTCCAGTGTCACCCACCTTCCTGAGTAGAGATGGTTCCTTCTGGACAAGGAACGCAATCATAGCAGCAAATTGGCTCTCCTTCTCGAGCCCTCTTGACAAATCCAGGACGACAATTTTGCACACATTTGGACTGAGGCAGAGACTAAGCACAAAAACAAGGAACACCAAAGAAAATATGTTGGGACTCACTATCCACAGAAAATTGAGGTAGACAAGTCAAATAGTCTTTGGGCTTCAGTGCAAAATACCATCTAACTGGATTGGCCCATATGACTTGCTTAAATTTTATAATAAAACTTATTTTAAAAGTTCTTTTAAATATCGTTGCATTATATTTATTAAAAGAGAAAAAAACTGTGATGAAAGAACTAACTTGTTACCAGTTAGGTTCTAGAATAGTTTCTTTTAGACTATGTCATACATTGCCAAGCTGCTCCAATTTGAAAGTAGTCAAAAACCACCTCCCAGTTATCCCAGTTAAGATATAATTATCCCAGTTCAGATACAAAGGAAAAATTAAATGTAAATTAATGCTGTCAATTTTAAAAGTGACTTTCTTGTGTATTTGTACATTTATTTGCTCAATTTATATGGCTGCCAGGCTGATGAAAATTGCTACCAAGTTTCTAGAATTGTAATGAGTTGAGATGCAGGTCAGATTGTGGGACTTTGTCCATCAAAAAGGGTAAGTCGGGAATATTTTGCTGCAGCAAGTGGGACATGAGTAAGAGCCCCGAGTCAGAAAGGGATATTTCTAACACTCAGCTAAGTATCGAAGAAAGGATCCTTTCTGTTGAAAAACTATAATTACTTGAC